TTACTTGTTAATATGTCTTCTAAATCTAATTAGTTTATTATTTATTTGTCCGGTTACTTTTGAATATTAGCCGCGCTGTTTCAGCAAATTTGTTTAACCCAAAGATCTCACACACTCAGCAAAAAAAAGTGTTATTTTAACGCAATGATCTCACACACTCACCAAAAACTATGTTTATTTTCATTTCTCAGACCGATGAGATTTGTGGTATCTAGATTCTTCCTAATTAAATTATACCGATAAAAAATGAATTATGTCCTTAATAGTTGGTATGCTAACGATATTACTGTCGGCGTCGCAACGCAAGATTATTTATAATTAGAGGGCGGCTATTCTCAAAATCTGGACAATTAATTTTAGAGTGCTGGGAAAGAATGTATAAAAGAATGTAAAATAAATATTTTTTTTACATTGCAATTATGACATCTGAGTACGTGTCATAAGTGTTCTTTTAATGAATATTTTGATTCGCTATGTATGTTTATGGTACTGTTCGTAATGCGCAAAACTCCAATTTTCCAAATTTTTGTTACATATTTTTTTGCGTCTCAGAGTCTCTAAGGATATACCCGAACTACTATACTGGCTAAAACGACACTCAGTCCTAACTGCAAGACGCAAGAGTCTCGCAGGCTTAGTCTTGTTCTTGCTCAATCAAATCTTGCATGATCAGTCTTGGTCTTTTCTAGCTAAAATTAGGCGGTCTTGGTCTTGGCCTTGCGAAAACGCAAGACCGATTTTGGGCAATATTACTTGCATTATTAACTGTGCCTATTGTAAGTCTTCCATTTTTTCTGCTATTAGAACGGTATCGACTGCATACCTCATTCTTATTCTTCGCTCATTCAAAGGTGCCCCAATGGGATACCCCCTCACTCCCATAATAGCTGATATCTGCATAAAACATTTCGAAATAACAGCCCTGTTCTCATCAAATCTAAAACATATCTGCTGGTTACGTTACTTTGATGACTTTGTTATTTGGCCCCATAGTAAAAACACATTAAATCTCTCCCACTGAATGAAATACATCTTCTTCTTCTTCTTCGTTCTAGCCATTCACGTCCACATCTGAACATAAGCCTCTTCAAGTCTTCCTTTCCATTGTTTTTTATTGTACGCTACTAGTAACCAATTTTTCCCGGCAGTCCTTTTCAGATCATCTGTCCATTTATACATACATGCGTGAATTGAATACATACTAGTATTCAATTCTCGATGAAAGTTGTGTCTGAAGAGTCTTTGCTATTCTTTGATGTTCTTATTCAGAAAAACCCACCTCTCAGTTTTTCCTAGTCCGTGTCAAGGAAACCCACTCCTACAAACCGTTATCTCAATGCCCAGTCACATCATCATCCCGCCCAACTCAATTTAGTTATCAACACTCTTGTTTCCTGTTCCATTAGACTTAGCGACAACAATCTCAGATCATCCGAAATCCGAATAAGTGGCCGTAGTATTTGTGGTTCTTCTTCTTCATGTGCCTTGTCCGTTCCGAACGTTGGCAATCAACATGGCTATTCTGACTTTGTTTACGGCAGATCTGAATAGTTCAGCAGATGACAAGAGTGTCTTCTCCTCCCTGGACCCCTTCTGCTGTCTATTTTCCCTTGAACGATCAGCTGTAGTACTCTATATTTATTATGTCTCATAACGTGACCCAAGTATTCCAACTTTTTTTCTTTATACTTATTCCGACCTCTCTCTCTGTACCTATCCGGCGTAGTACCTCTTCGTTGGTCACGTGCAGGATATACGTAATATACGTCGGTAAGCCCACATTTCGAAGACCTCTACTTTTTTCATCAATGTTGCGGTCATTGTCCACGTCTCCATTCCATATAACAAAACCGGGAATACATAACATTTCAGAAGTCGAATTTTGAGAGGTAGGGTGAGGCTTTTAGAGGTGAAAATTTGCTTCATGCTAGTGAACGATGCTCTTGCCTTTTCTACTCTTATACGTATTTCCTTCATTTGATCCCAATTTGAGTTAACTGTTGTTCCCAAGTAGATGTACGAATCCACGTGCTCAATTCTTTCATTGTCTAATATCAGTTGCTGTGGTGGTTGTTGGGTTTTGCTTACTAACATCCATTTGGTTTTTGTGATATTTAGTCTGAGTCCGTATTGTGCACTTGTTTTTTGTATCTTACTCATTAGACAACTCAGTTCCTCCATGCTACTTGCTAGAATCACAGTGTCATCAGCATACCTTATGTTATTAATTATTTCTCCATTTATCTTTATGCCTTCTGTGCTCTCCTCCAGCGCTGTCTTAAATACTTCTTCTGAGTATATATTAAAGAAAATTGGGGACAAGATACAGCCCTGTCGTACCCCTTTCTTGATCTCAATTTTATTGGTCAATGTAGATCCTACTTTCACTTTAGCTGTTTGACCCCAATAGAGACTCACTATTGTTAGAATGTCTCTGTAGTCGACTCCGATCTTATGGAGAACTTCAATTATCTTTTCGTGCTTTACGTTATCGAATGCTTTTGCGTAGTCTATAAAGCATATGTACACGTCTTTGTTCATATCTCTGCAGCGCTGGATGAGTACCTGTAGACTAAAAAGTGTTTCTCTTGTCCCAAGAGAATTCCGAAACCCAAACTGCGAATCTCCAATGTTATCCTCGCACTTTTTTGCTTATTCTGTTGTAAATAACCTTGGTGTATGCCTTCGAAATGTGGTTAATTAGACTTATCATCCGATGTTGATCACAAGACATTTTGGTTTTTTCGGTATGGTAACAAAAGTTGACTCTAGCCAGTCTTTAGGAAACACCCCGCTGTTATAAATATTGTTAAAGAGTCTGACGAGTGAGTCTAGAAATTGACTGTTTGTTTCGCACAGCATTTTCAATACTTCCCCGTATACGTTATCGTTGCCTGGTCTTCTGTTATTTTAAAAGACCCTTGATAGCATTGCTCAGTGTACACCCACTAAGACGGTCATCATTATACAGTTGTTCCACATAAGTTTCCCAAATTCTAACTATTTTGTCGGGGTCTAGTTGTAGATTTCCATTATCATCGCACAGCCCTTTCGATAAAATATTGTAGCTTTTCTTTGTTGTGAGTTCCTTTATCTTCTTATGCATATTGTGATAGTCGTATACCTTTTCGCACTGTTCGATTTCTTCGCATCTCTTCGAGAACCATTTGTGGTTGCGTAACTATTTTCATGTATTTCGTTTTATTGGTAAAAAAGTCTTATGATATACATTGAAAAAACAAACTAACTCATGGTTCTTTCAGCAAAACCGGTGTGCAACTGGCACCGCCATGACTACTGGGACGATAATGCATCAAATAAACCAGTCCAGACTGGTACACCAGTTTTTATTAAGGAATTGTGTGCTAGACACTTTGCTCCTGAAGAGGAAGTAGTAGTACATATGAGAGGACAACAATTAACCGAATTATTCCTAACTACACATGGATTTAATAATCCTATCACCATAGATGCAAAAGATGGATTAGACTTGACAATTCCGCCTGATAACTTTAGTGTCTATGATGTTGAATCATACATTGGAGGTGAGATGGAAATTGATGTTATAGATGTTTGCCGTCAAAATAATATTAGGATGAGGCTGAGTGAATATGTAGAATATTTTAACAGTTTAAATCGTACACGAGTATTGAATGTTGTCAGCTTAGAGTTTTCAGGCACTGGGTATGTTATAATTTTTATTATTGTAATAAATATATTTAACTTCGTGGTTTGCAGGCTTAGTCCCTTTGTTGAAGCGCCATTCATAGCTCGTACACTTGACTGGGTTAATCGAGTATGGCCCATAAACTACCCTGGAAAGCCTCAAGTTCAAAAATATTGTTTGCTTAGTGTAAAAGGTTCTTATACTGATTTCCATATAGATTTCGGTGGGACATCAGTGTGGTATCATGTGTTAAAAGGTGAAAAAATATTTTATCTTATTAAGCCAACTTCTGCCAATTTGACTCTCTATTCCCAGTGGATGACATCTACCAACCAAAGTGAGACATTTTTTGGTGATCAGGTGAGTTTTTACATCATAATATTACATTATATTTTATTGGGAAAACCAGGGGAAATTGAAAACATCAATTTGATTCTTAATTGTATTATGTATTTAATTAATTTCACAATTAATGACAAAAATTTACCAAGATTCGGACCCAGAGATAAAACTATACCTTTCAGAAGGTTTCTTGTGCGCTGAATCCAAATCTGAGCTCCATATTGCCAAAGCTTTCTGAGATATCGTAACTAAAAGAACAAAAATTGCGACTTTTGGCCATTTTTTGAGTTATGTAGCATCGTAATAAAATTTTTCTCCCTGAAAGTGTTCTAACCGTCTTAAAAGTAGGTCTCGACCATAAGCAGGCTTACTTACACAACCCTGAGAATAATATAAAATCCATATTATGAGCGAACTTACTCACGAAACCAGCTTGCCTGTGTTAGTTTTAACCTTCCGCAGATAACGTGAAACATTTTAAAATTTTTGATAACGTCGGTCTAACAAACCGACTTTTTCTAAAATTAAAAAAAAATAGAAATTTAGCTGTAGGTGATAAATATTTGTAATAATATAATTGTGTATATTATTCTCTATACAAATATATAAAATTTATAATTTTTTTGTTATTTTAATAATTTTAAGGAGATATTAAAAAAAAGTGTCATTTTTATGAACAGTCTTTTAATAAAATCAAAATAATTATAACAAAAAAAATAAATTCTGGTTTCACTAAAACATAAATCAGTTACTTGTATGTTAATAAACAGAGAAAATAAAATTTTACTCTCAAAATTTTCACAGATCACTGAAACTATTCCAAATTTTGGGCACCATAATTTTCAAAACAATGCCTGGATATTTTCGCCACCTTGTAGTTCCATCTTTACCGATAAGGCAGGGTATTCTTGAAGTACAAGCGGTTTCTTCAAGAATAGGTAAGTTTTGTTGATTTTCAAACTCCTCTTCAGAGTATATATCCTCAATAGTTTCTATAATATGGTCGTCTATCAAACTCACATCATCATCATCTGGTTCTGCCTCTGAATCATTTAAAACTTCCCCATGAAGCCGCAACAGCCATTCTTGTTCCCTCTCGTAATTCATTAGAAACGTATGCCCTAAAATATAATATAAATCAATACCGCAAACAAAAAATCAAAAAAATTAGTCTTACCTCAAAATGTAACGGCAACTATAACGTCGGTTTGTGGGACCGAATCGTGTATAATACTGAAAATTCTTATTAAACGATACACGCTGTCCACTTGCTAAACTATAACTGAATAGATACAAGCACGTTCGAAAGGTACTATGAGGTGCAGATTGAAATAAAAATTAGCAGCGCTTAAACCGCGAAAATTTAAATCAGTCGGTGCGAGAGACATAACGTTATCAGCCGAAGGTTAATGAAGTTGTCTGTCCGACACCTAACTTCCATCCTCTTCTATCGTGGCAATCTTCCGTTGATAGATTCCGTTCGCTCATTGACTTTTTTATGTTTTGCTGCCACTCTAGTTTGGGTCTTCCTCGCTTTCTATTCCCTATTGGGGTCCAGTTCAGTATTTTTTTGGGCCATCTAGTATTTTGCATTCGCTCTACGTGTCCGTACCAGGTAAGTTGTTTCTTTTCAATATCCTGAATTATCGTACCTTCTATTCCCATTCGTTGTTTTATATGGTCATTGTCTGTCTGGAATTCTCCATGTTTCCGCTCAATACAATAGGCTGCTCTTAACCATTGTCTCGTATATATTAAATTTTCTCCTTTTTGTTATCTCCTTGCTCCACAAGATGCCATTCAGACATCCTATTATCTTTTTAGCTGTAACTATTCGTTTTTCTATCTCTTTCACATCTGTTCCGGTATTGTCGAATGTGATACCTAAATATTCATATTCTTGATGTTGCAGAATTTCTTGACCGTTGTCCAACTCCAAATTTTCGCTCTGAGAGCCTACACATAGATATTTCGTTTTATTTACGTTAACTGTCAAGCCCCATTCCTCATACTCTTCTATCAGATTTCTAATCATATATTGCATGTCGTCTTTGTCATTGGCCACTATGACCTGATCATCTGCAAACTGAAGAGTAAACAGGTATCTGTCATCTATCTCTATACCCATTCCGTGTATTTTCCTTTTCCAGTTCTTAAGTGCTGCTGCTACATATATTTTGAATAGTGTAGGAGAGAGGACATCCTTGACGTAGTCCCTTATTCACTATGAAGGCATCTGTGAGTTTTTTACCTATCTTACTTGATTGTGAATTTTCATACAGTTCTTTAAGTGCAGTTATATAGTTGTGATTGATGTTCGTTTGTTCTAATACCTTCCACAGTCTCGATACTGAGACTGTATCATATGCTTTTTGTAGGTCCACAAATGTAAGATGGGTTTCCAGATGTCTAGCAGATCTCTTCTCTATGACTTGTTTTAGACAAAATACGTTGTCGGTACACGATCTACCTGCTCTAAAGCCGCTTTGATCTTCTTGTTCTCTCTCTTTATAGTCTTCTTCAATTAGATATCGCAGTATTCTACTGTATAGTTTGCTCAGTGTACTCGTGATTGATATGCCTCGATAGTTGTTACAGTCCAGTCTAATTCCTTTTTTATGGATGGATGATATATAAGCTGTTTTCCAGTCTTCTGTCTGTTCTAATATTACAGTTCTAATATTACATCTTCCGTGCTTGAATTTTTAACATTATTATTCTTTCTAAGATTTAATCACACCTAGCACTGATTTTTTAATAGTGTTGCTTATGATGAAAGCTACTCCGTATTGATGATTAGTTTTGTCTCCTCCAGTGTAATAAATATTGTAGTTATTTATTGATATCTCTCCATTTCCTGCCAATTGTACATCTCTAACCCCAAGTATATCTATTTTTAGCCTCTCTTTCTCTGTAATAACATTGTGTAGTTTTCCAGGCTGATACATACTTCTTATATTCCAGGTAGCTATTTTTATCTGAGAGGGTTGAGTATTGTTTTTTTAGTTTTTTGTGCAAGGGTTTCGTATGTTGACGACCGAGGAGGCCTTGCGTTCTGATGGTTGTCCTCCCCTACAGGATTTTGGTCTCCGATTACCATAATCAATAATGTCTCTTGCGCAAATAATGCTAGTAGCAATAGTGATGTCATCAGGGATCTTTAATGCAGTGGTTTCTCTTTGCCTTCTGCATTCTGACACCGTTGACCACTTTCTTGGTTCTTCCGCATTCGAGACCAATTTCTCAGTCTCAGGACAACAAAGTGTCCTTCCACTTACTAGTTCATCCGCCCTAAGCCGTTGGCCAGAGCCTCCTTAGTTATCTAGCAGGATGTACCAGAAGACCATGATCTAGATCATCATACGTCCAAGTGAGGTTGATATTTGAATAGGAGTGGCTATATGTTGCGCTTCACTATCCAATTACATCCCTAGCAGGTCTACATAATCTCAAAAATAGCCAAAAACTGCTATTTTTGTACTTTTAAGTTAGGATATCTCAGAAATTAGAGCCAATTTGATAATTTGGAGCTCAGATTCGTATTCAGCGCAAGAAAAACGTTCGAAAAAGTATGCTCTACTTTTTGGGTCTCAGCCTTCTCGGTCTGAGACCCACAATATTGCGTGAATAAAGACTTCCAATGAACGGTTTGAGTTTTCCTACTCCCAAATTTTATTCCTCTTTTATTATAATATTGTTCATTAATATTTTTAGTTTTTTCTTACTTGTTCATAGTGTTAGATCTTTTGCGAATGCTATACATTGATGGCCATATTTATTTTGCTTGTTCTGATTCAGTGATTCCTTAAAGTAGCAGATTTGATACTTAAAAATATTTGTTGTAAATTTATCAGTAATCAAACTATTATCTAATTAAAGTCTGTGTTTTCTGTTGTGGACCATTATTCACTCACCAATCTTTTTGTGACATATTCTATGCCTCTATAAACAATGTGCCACATTAAGAGTCTGTGTCTCTAGAATTATTGTTTCAGGTGGACCAGTGTGTAAAATGTGTATTAAAACAGGGTCAAACTATGCTAGTTCCAACAGGGTGGATTCATGCAGTGTACACTCCAGTCGACTCTTTAGTTTTTGGAGGAAATTTCCTTCATGGTCTTAATATTGGAATGCAATTGAGGTAAGTCGTTCTTTATATATATTTGCTCAAAGGCTATAGCGGGATAAGATGGTCAAAATTGCACCATGCTCGATTCAGTTTTGGGCTTGACCATTCGAAAGGACATAATTAAAAACTCACTCGGTTAAATTTTCAAGTCCCTACATGCCTCTGGGGTTTCGCTATGAGAAAAAACGTATAAAAAAATTTTTTTTAGACGCTGTATTGCTGCAAAAAATCTGAAAAAATTCATGAAAGACTACTACCTGTTTTTTTCAGATTTTTAGCTTGAAAATTGAGCCAAGGAAAAATATTTGAAATTTTCAGTAATATTTTAGGTTATGTCTGAAATTTTTGGCCAACTTTAAAACAATGTTTTTTTATGTGTTTTTTCCCGTTCTTTCGAATGGCAATGTGGAAAATGCCTAAAAATCGAAAAAAAACTGCTTTTTTTGGCATTTTTCTGAAGCACCCCCAACCCTTAACAATAAATTGTATGGGCCTAGGAACAAAACAAAAACAAATAAGTATTACATAGAAAACAAAAAATTTATTTATACTGCCATAAGATACAATAATATCAGTTTTTATAAAATAAAAAATATATTAATAAAATAAACATAAATTAGGTTTTTTAGTGAGATGGATGACTCCTAACCTTAACGACATACATCTAAATTAATGATAATTTATAATTTTATATGTATTCTTACCTTTACAATCGAAATAAGCTATAAAACTATTATTTTTTTCCTGCAGTATGCTAAAAAAAAAAAACGAAAAACCCCGTTTTTTCGGCGTTGTTTTTAAGCATTCGCTATATAACTTCTAAATTCAGTGTCTAAATGAATTTACATTTTCACATGTATCTTTTCCTTT